GCCAAGTGTCACCCCAAGATTACTCACCACCCTACCCCCCCACCCAAAGCCCTGGGGCGCCCCAGTCCCTCAGGGTTCAGAGGTCACCATGTTCTCGGGGCTGGCCGTGATCGGTCACACTGATCCGTTCAGAGATCTGGGGGAGCATCGGAGTCGCCCTCAGTCTCGTGTGCCAGCGATCTGCTAACTGAACAGCTGGCTTCATCCATCAACTTCACACAGCTGTTGCAGTTGTTGACATCCTACTAGACCAGCTGGACGGGGGCTCCCCAGGACCAGGGCTGGAGACCACCGATTGAGGGTGCTTGTTACAGACAAGGGGAGACCATCTGACCCCTCTGGCTGTTAGTAGTTAATTGGTCCAGGGATCTCAACCAGCTTTTTCTTGAAAGAATCGGGGTATAGGCTTCATTAACACCGCAGAGTAGCTTGTTCCACACTCCCACCACCCTTTGTGTAAACTGCCTTCTTGTTCTTAGTACAGTTCCTTATAGTTTCCACGTGTCCCAGCTTTTACTGACAAACAGATAAGATCCTGGGCTCGCCTGTCGCCTATCGAACAGGCCTGATGGGGCGAATGGCCTCCCAGCTGTTCTTGCGTTCTGATTTCTTTCAAGAGCTGAACACGCTCATGCAATTCTAATAAACCCCACCCTCATTTGGGGGACCCTGTTGGTGACCCAGAAGAAACAAACGGGGTGCTCCTCGACCGAAACTGGGAGCTGCGACAAAAAATACATCCCTCTTCATTGCTCACCAGCTCGTTTATTGTTTCAGCACCCAAAGCAACAGTTCATCACAGGCTGCAGAGATCTGAAGCTCTGCCGCTGAAGAGCTCTTTTAAGGGATCTCTAAACTAGACAATCTTGTCGATTACAGCAACAGCGCCATTTACAGACGAGCCGAGCCGATTGCTGTTGACTCTTCTCACCACCAGGGGGCGGCAGTGTCCCACGCAGTCGCAGCAGCTCAGTCCAGAGTTTAATCAGAGTCCCTCAGCTCCGCCAGGCTGAGCTCTTCCTGTCCGGCTGTACTTGCTGCATACCTGCGCTGCGGTCTCACAACTGCTCAGTGCCGCCCAAGGCACTCTGTTCATTACAGAGACAGCCAGGTAAAACACACACACACAGACTGATCGGGTGTGAGCTCTGCCAGGGGTATAGTCTCTGAGTCTCCACCCCTCCACCCTGC